GGGGGGTTTTTTCCCCCCCCCCCCCCCCCCCCCCCCCCCCCCCCCGGGCTACGGGCCTGCAGAACCATTGTCGTTGTCAGGGCCGGACCCTGAATTATTTGAAGGGGGGGTCCGGTTTTTAGGAATGACATACCACGGATGCAAAGCCGACCATGCCCCCCCCCACCTTGGCATTGGGTTTGGGGCCCGCTGAAGGTCCCCGAAAAAAATTGGTAATTTAGACAGCGAACGGTGCCATTTGGTATGGTTGAAAACTATGATTCAGCTCGTCAACATTCTAATTTCAAGAGAAGACCATTGATGTGATTTTTTTCCAGAAATCAAAGGGCGGTCAGGATCCCCCTGATACCCCCACCCCCCCTAAATTCGCCACTGATAATCTCGTTGTTGACACAGCCTGTAGTACACCTCTGTTTCCACAGAACATATCTTTTGACGTGAATATTTGAATTTTTCAAAGCTTATTACCGTGACAGTAATCCAACAACAAAATAAAATACAAACATTCTTTATTTTCTGTATATATGAAAATATTAAAAAAAAAGCTGCAGTTATGTACATCAGGTAGTTAATTTTATAGTCCTTTTTATAGTCTAATTGCGTTATAAAACCAGGTCCCTGTCATTCAACTTTCTCGTGATATAAATACACTTAGTAAGCTACTTTTCAATAAAGTTTACAAAATTAAACATTTGACAACACAACAGAAATAGAAGATACTTTTTTTCGTCTGATAATTACTTCTTGATCAACCCCACTTTATGAACACCATATTTATTTATATATTTTACCCTGACCAGGAAAAATCTAGGATAATATTATGAGATACAAAGTTCGAATAATTGAGGTATAAATTGTAGAAAAGATATTGCGTTGAAGTAAAGTTGTTCGTGTCACTTCTTTCAATCAAGTGTGGTATAAAAATAGTGCAAATGTGTTGACAGAGCACCCACTGAGAGTAATACAAAATAGAAATGATCAGAATTGCAGCATNGTAGCAACCCTGTAGTTCGGCAGTATAGGTGGGAGAAATGTATGAGGAAATTGTGTACTTTGAATAACGTGGGCGCGGCTGTGCATGTTGTTATTCCAACTCAAGCAAAAAAAAGGAAAAAAAGCTTGGAAAATTGCACCAAAGTAAAAACTAATAAAGGAAATTTTGTGGCAGTAACTTCCTGCTTGATATTAAAAAACGCAGACATTCGACTCCACAGCGAAACTGCGTGACAGACGTTATCTAAAGCCCCCTTTACACTGGACGGCGTCCTTTCTGCGTCCAGCAGTACGGCCCCATTTGAGAGTTTAAAAATTATAATATTTTACGTGCCGACAACTGGCCGATCATTGAGCATTCATTCTGATACAAAATTAATGCTCGTGCCTCCTTATTAAGACCACAGCGATGCCAAATTTCATGGTCGCAGAGAGGACGCAGAAAGGACGCCGTCCAGTGTAAAGGGGGTATAACCGACAGAACTGAGATCACGTGACGAAGAGAGCGGAAACGTCTGGCCCCGGCTTCAAAAAAAAAAAAAAAAAAAAAAAACTAAAGTCAGGTTCCCCAGCTAAGAACTTAATTACCAAGGTTACATGGTCACATGGGCTCATCTTACCCTATCAGGAGCAGTGTAAGAGCTCTCTCATGGAAATCCTAGTCAACTAAGTCAGGGAACTGACTTGAGATTTTTAGTGAAATTCAGATCGTCATCGAAGTCTCGCTGGTGATTCCCTATCAATATTGATTGGCAATCAGAGTTAAGACAATACTGTATCAGTGCATCTGTTGGTTGGAAAAGCTGAAGTATGTTGATTCACGATGTCGACAATGTTCAACTGAAACACATGCATAATCTTGTTGAAATAAAATGTCCGTGAAGTGCACGGTATCCGAATATGTAATTAATATATTGCAATCTCTCTCTCTCTCTCTCTCTCTCTCTCTTTTTGTGGCTACAGTGCAAGTTTGCTTCGGAGCGAGCTCTATGTATGCCGTTGATCTGGACCACTTTTGGTTGAATTTCAGTTAAAGTAGGTTATGCATTTGAATTTGAAGTACAAAGCTCTATTTTTTGTTAACCGTTTTCTTCTCGAAAAATCAACCTCGCGTTTTTTCTCTTCAGAACGCGTTACGCACATGTATGTAAGGATGGACGAGGTCAGATGTACCGGTATCCATATCTCAAGATTATATCTCGATACCTCTGTATGTGGCACTGGTATCTTATGGTGATAGGAAATTAGATCTATTAGTCATTCGAAATTGTCTATGGTTTAGGTACTTGCTGTGAACCCTCTGTGAGTTTGCAGTAAAAGCGGTCCAGAATGTTTCAGATTACCAGCTATCTGTTTCCACCAGGTGTTGACGACCTGGTATAGGTATAGGTATAGCTATATAATCCATCAGGTCATCGTTCTCTGCTCTTATCAAACCTGCTCGTGTTCTAACCTCAGTGTTACATACAGTAGCTTGTATAAGCTGTGGGTGAATTTGTAAGAACAGACTTTAGACTGGCTGCCCTTTTATATAAACCTAGAGATGTACGGTAAGGGCGCCGCCCGGGGGGGGGGGGGGGGGGGTAGGCAGGGGCAGGTCCAGGATTATTTGAAGGTTGGTCCAGAACGACAGGCCTTGGATGCAAAGCAAGGGCCCAGAAAAAATGTTTGGCCCTATGATACGGTTAAGAACTATGATTTAGCTAGTCAACATTCTATTTTCAAGAGGGGAATATTGGTGTGCTACCTTTTTCAGAAACTGGTCAGGAGAGTCAGACCCCCCCCCCCCCTGACCCCCTCCCCTCTAAAAACGCCACTGGGTAGGGGAGGGTGGCTCAGTAGGGTGGGGGGTAAAGTTAGAGCAAAGTAAGAAAAGTTACTTTCATTCCAGTATTTGAATGGCTCTTTGGTAACTAACCGGTTATGGACAGTAGCGTGTCAGTGTACTGAGAGACCAGGAATCTCTATTTCAATCAATAAGTCGTATTCTCCTAGAGTACCTGTACCTGTACCTGTACCATTATTGTGATACGCAGTGGGCGTGCAACATCAGATTTCACATAGTGCTATTTTTCTTTTTTTTTTTTTTTTT